GTGAGAGGAGTTCTCGGGAGAGGTTGTATCGGGGGTGGACAGACCCTCCACCCTGACACGTCGATTAGTGAATTGTCCGTTTTCGGCTCTCGAGAAGGCGCCGCGGCCGTCATTTTCCAGTCTAGCGCCCGCCAGGTTTGGGCCCGAGGTCGTTTTCACTAAACCACGTTTTACTAAAGGGGGTTCTGTCCATCCCCGATCGTACACAACCTCCCCCACGAACGTCAGAGGGCGCTCGACGCCTCCAGATGGCCAAAGCGAGAGCGAGCTCTTCGGCACGGCCTCGACACCCGGCAGCACCCTGGCTGTGCCGGCGGGACGGCTGGAGGCATCGCTGCGAGGGTGGGGCGGCACCGGGGACTCGCGACGCGTTGGCCTGCCCGGAGGGTATACGGCAGGCACGCTAAACTAGCACGGCCTGCCGGCGAGTGCCTCGGTGAAGTGTCGTATCTCTTCGGCGGTGTTGTGGACCCGCAGAATCTAGGCCTCCCAGATGGGGTCGGAGTAGAGGGGGTCGGAGGATCGCGCCGCATCGCCGATGCATCGGCGATGCGGCTCGATGCGGAGCTCGATTTTCTCCACGCCGACGTCGCCGATGCATCGCTGACGTCGCCAGTGCATGGCCGATGCATCGCCGATACATCAGCGATGCATCGCCGATGTATCGGCGATGCGGCGCGATCCTCCGACCCCATCTCCTCCAACCCCATCTGAGAGGCCTCTACAGAAGCCCTTGGGCAACCTGAGAATTTCAGAGGTCGGCGGCAGATGAGCCTCCCACGGCAACCTCGAGCAAGGCTTTTCGTTGTGTCGTCCGTGCCACCCTCCCTCCGTGGGGAGATGGGTGCGGGTCAGGATTTCTCTGGCGTCTGGCGGCGCAAAATTTCAGTCGTCGCTGGACTCCAGCTGTTCTGCAGCGCGCCTACCCCTAGCAGGCCGTCCGGAGGTCCGTGGCGCATGCAAGCCACGGCCGATGGGCGCGAGCCTTTTTGAGAGGGGCGAGCGCGGGTGCGAGGACTTCGGGCCGGCACCGGCTGCTTTTTGAACGGATTTTTTTGTGTGTGGCGCGCCGAGGGGCGCGGCACAGCAACACAAACCGGAAGTGCTTCAAAGCTGCCACGCGCCAGGAAAACATGCTGCCCTCTTAGGCACCCCAAGTGGGGTTCGAGCAGATGGGGTCGGTGGATCGCGCCGCATCGCCGATGCATCGGGGATGCATCTCGATGTGGAGCCCGACTCTCTCCACGCCGGCGTCTCCGATACATCAGCGATGCGGCGCGGTCCTCCGATCTAGTCTACGTTCGCAACTGATGAGAAGGATGGGGAACCTTCCCGAGGGTAACCTTGCATCCTTGCCTCTTCGGTCCATCCTTAACTGCTCTCGATGGCCAGCCCCTCTCGAAAAGCTTCGACATGCGCGTCCAAGGGGCTTGCATCCTTGTCGCGCATCCGTACCATCAGATTTGACTGTAGTGGTCGGCATGGAGGAAAGTCAGACGCAACGCTGGGGTTTGTCGATAGGGCCCAGGGAGGTTTCGGCTTCGAGATTCGAGGGTTAAGGTTTTCAGGCGTTTCTGGCAGTTCTCGGCGGTTTTCTGGCCTCGAGATGCTTTTCCAGCAGATGCGCCTCGCCGAGGTCGTTCCCGGGGTGCCAGAGTCGCCCCAAACGGCCGCCAGCGAGCCGAGTAACGGCCCGAAAGCTACCACGCACGGGGACAGGCTCAGGTAATCAGGGATGCATCGACGCCCAGTCGCCCACTCGTTGCCGATAGGGGCCCGATGGTTCACCCCGCCCAGGAAAACCTGCGGGACTTGCTACTGGGTGCCAATCGTCGATGCGTCGCCGATTGCAAGTCGATGTCCCCCTCCCGAGCCGGTGCTCCCCTACACATGGTTCATTCATTCCTAAGTATTCGGAAGTTCCTTGATTCTTTGGGGGGCGAAGATCCTTTCATTTCTAATTGTGCTACCCTGGGCCACTTCCTGGCCACTAGGGGGCCAGGAACAATTAGAAACGATCACAATTAGAAATGAGCCCGACTTGAAATGAACGACGTCTATCGTTCCCCCCGAGGCCAGGGAGGGCGTGGAGGATACATCCGAGACGTCGAGACGGAGAGGGAGAGCAGTTCGGGCTCGGAAAGGGGCCCGCTGTTTCTTTTTTTATCGGCGGCGCGCCTGGGGGCGAAGGCAGAGGGGGCAGGCAGAGGGGGCCGGCTCCCACCGCCTTCCCCCCCAGGCGCCCGAAGTTCAGAAGTAATCCTGAGGGGAGATTTTTGGCCCACGTGCAGCCTTTGGGGGCCCTCGCCGGGCCCAGGGAGACCGTCAATACGACGGCTCGGGAGGAGCACTGGTCCCGGTCAAGGGGCCCAGACTCAGGGTTTACGCAAGGCGGGTCAGCGCCAACGGGGGGCAGCCAACGCCCTCCGAGACCGGGAGCCGCTTGGAGCCGACCCTGCTAAGGGCTGAGGAGGAGCAGGAAGAGCAGGAGGAGGAGGAGGAGAAGGAGGCAGGAGGAGGGAGATGGAGGAGGAGGAGGAGGAGGAGCAGCAGCAGCAGCAGGAGGGGAAGGAGGAGGAGGAGGAGGAGGAGGAGGAGGAGCAGGAGGAGGAGGAGGGGGGGGCGTCTCCGCTGGGTCCCCGCTGGCCCAGGTCTGGGAGCTGCTGCGCGGCCGGCCTGTGGCCCCGGCGGGCCCAGGAGTGCGCTGACCCCCGGTCTCAGTGCGTCCCCCTGTGGATTTCGGGAGCCCCTCGCTCCCATCTGAGACTTCCTCACAATTTACTCGGGAACGGCGCTCCCGCTCGAGACCTCTTCGCAATGGAGTCAAGACTTCCTCGCAATTTGAGTCAAGACCTCCGCTCCCGCCAGAGAACCCCGCACATTTCATTCAGGAATTGCGCTCTCGCCTGTGACTTCCATGCAGTTTAGTCAGAAATCGCGCTTTCGACGCTCAGGAAACAAGCTGCGCCAAGGACGCCGTCACAATTTACTTAGGAATCGCCCTCTCGCCATACTCAGGCATCCCGCTTGAATGTCCCACCCGCCCGACCCGCCCGTCAGGGGATCGCCCGCCCGTCGTGGGCTCCCGCCCGAGACTTCCTTCAGGGCCGGCGTTTTCGACTAGGACTTCCTCGAACATTCACGCTCCTACCTTCCTGCTCCTCCTCCCTTTCCCTCCTCCCTCCTCCCTCCTCTCCTCCCTTCTCTCTCCCTCCTCTCTTTCCTCATCCTTATGCCTCTCTGCCCTATCCCCTCTCCCGCATCTCCCTCCTCCCCTGTCCTGCCTCCTCCCTCCCTCTTTTTTTTTTCTTTCTCTCCCTCTCTCTCTCTCTCCCTCTCTCTCCTCTCTCTCTCTCTCTGCCTCTCTTATCTGTCTTTTTTCTCTCTCTCTCTCTCTGCCTCTAATCCACCGCCCCCCTCTTCGCTCCTTCTCTCCTGCCATTTTCCCCCTTCCTCCCGCTCTCCCTCGTTCTCCCCCTCCTCTTTTTGCAGGGCCCACACCATTTCCAATGGCGGGCACATTTACGCCCACGACGGATTGTCCGCCAGTTCAGGTTTGCCCGCCTGTCTAAGCCCGCCGCCCCCCGCAAGGAGAAATAATCCCCCCTGCAGGGGGTGTGACCGAAGACAAAAAGGGCGGGTATCTAGGGTGTGTGGAACTCGTTTTGACTGACACACGGGCAAGTAAGAGCGATCAGTCGTATAATGAGTGTTGTTGTTGTTGCTGCTGCTGCTGTTGCTGTTGCTGTTGCTGTTGGTTTTTTTGTCCCAGCCATCCTGTGGTGTTGGGTCTTCGTTTTGAAGAAACAGCGCCCCGCGTCTCACTCCTCCTCCTCTCCTCCTCCTCTCTCTCCTCCTTCCCCCCTCTCTCCTCTCGTCACCTTCAAATTGGCGCACCCCTCACACGTTTCGTGGCCCCATACGGAGCTCCACTTATGGTCCCAGCGGTGCAGTTCGCATGGCGCCGCCGCCCCATTTTGGCGCACCCTTCGCACGGTTCGTGGCACCATCGGGAATTCCACCGAAGGTCCTGGTGGTGTAGTTCGCATGGCGCCGCCGCCCCATTCTGGCGCACCCCTTCACACGCTTCGTGGCCCCATAGGGAGCTCCATCTAAGGCCCCAGTGGCGCAGCTCGCATGGCGCCGCCGCCCCATTTTGGCACATCCCTCACGCGCTTCGTGGCCCCATAGGGAGTCCACCTAAGGGCCCCATGGCGCAGTTTGCATGGTGGCTCCGCCCCCTTTTTCGTCACACCCCTCGCACGTTTCGTGTGCACATCTAGGGGATTTCACCGAAGGTCCCAGTGGCAAGCTGCGCATGGCGATGCCGCCTCAGTTTGGCACCCCTCTCACATAATTCGTGGCCCCATACGACGCCCCACCAAAGGTCCCAGTGGCGCAGCTCGCATGGCGGCGCCGCCCCATTTCGGCACCCCCCTCACACGCTTCGTGGCCCCATAAGGGGGCTCCACCGAAGGCGCCAGTGCCACCGCCCGCATGCGTCACCCACACCCATGTCGTCACACCCCTCACACGTTTCGTGGCCCCATAAGGAGCTCCAACGAACGCCCCTGTGCCACCGCCCGCATGCGTCACTCACGCACATTCGGGCACACCTTTCACGTGTTTCGCGGCCCCATAGGGAGCTCCACCGACGGCGCCAGCGGCTGCGTTCACGTGCGCCCACCGCACCCATTTTGGTACACCCATCACTGTTCGCGGCCCCGTAAGGAGCTCCACCGACGGCCCCAGTGGCTGCGTTCGCATGCGCCCACCGCACCTATTTCGGCACACCTCTCACGCGCTTCGTGGCCCCATAAGGAATTCGACCGACGGCCCCAATGGCTGCTTTCGCATGCTCCCACTGGAGAAGTTTTGGCACACCCCTCACACGCTTCGTGGCCCTAAAAGGGAACTCCCCCGAATGCGGAGCACACAACGACAGTACTCACAACTGCATATGGTTGGGTCCTTCGCCAGGCTATTTTTTATGAGTTCCCATGTGTGAAGAAAACGATCATTGACCCCCCCGCCGCGCACAGTGGTGTTAAAGCGTCGTTTTGATTAGACAGCGTCTCACGTTCTCCTCCTCTTGCCTCCTTCCTCCTCCCACCCTTGCCTCCGCCCCCATGTTGGCACACCCCTCACACGTTTCGTGGTCCCAGAAGGAAGCTCTACCGAAGGACCGAGCGGCAGGGGGGGTCGCATGGCGGCGCCGCCCCACGTTGGAACACCCCTGACACGTTTTGTTGCCCCATAGGGGGCTCCACCGAAGGCCCCAATGGCAGGATTCGCGTGGCGGCGCCGCCTCATTTCGGCACACCCCTCACACGCTTCGTGGCCCCATAGAGAGCTCCAGCGAAGGCCCTAGCGGCAGGGTTTGCTTGGCGGCGCCGCCCCATTGGCACACGCTTGACACGTTTCGTGGCCCGATTGGGATATCCACGGAAGGCCCCAATGGCAGGGTTCGCACGGCGCTGCCGTCCCATTTTGGCACATCCCTCACACGTTTCGTGGCCCCGTAAGGAGCTTCACCGAAGGTCCCAACGGCAGGGTTCGCATGGCGGCGCCGCTCCATTTTGACACATCCCTGACACGTTTCGTGGCCCCATAGGGAGCTCCACCGGAGGCCCCAGTGGCAATGTTCACATGGCGCCGCCGCCCCGTTGTGGCACACCCCTCACACGTTCCGTGGTCCCATAGGGAGCTCCACCGAAGGCCCCAGTGACAGGGCTCGCATAGCGCCGCCGCCGCCGCATTTTGTCATGCCCCGTTGTGGCACACCCCTCACACGTTCCGTGGTCCCATAGGGAGCTCCACCGGAGGCCCCAGTGGCAGTGTTCACATGGCGCCGCCGCCGCCGCATTTTGGCATACCCCTCACACGTTTCGTGGCCCTATAGGGAGCTCCACCGAAGGTCTTAGTGGAAGGGCTCGCATGGCGGCGCCGCCTGATTTTGGCACACCCTTCACCCGTTCCGTGGCCCCATAGGGAGCTCCACCGAAAGCCCCAGTGGCAGGGTTCGCATGGCGGCGCCGCCCCACTGTGGCACACCCCTCACACGCTTCGTGGCCCCACAGGGAGCTCCCCCGAAGACGATGCTCACGACTGCGGTATTCACAGCTGCATATGGTTCTGTCCTTCGCTGGGCGAATGTCAATT